CATTGAATTTCTTAAAAATGTTTTGATCCGTTTTAAAGTTGAAAAACTACGTTCAGCTTCTGCTGTGGTCATTGGCGTAGTCACCAGAATTTGTATCAACTTTTTGGTTTCTGTTAATGTGTCCTCTAAATTATTAGAAATTATAAATTTTAGTAAAGGCACTGCACCTTTTAATGTTCTACACTCGATATTGGAATACAAAACTGACAGTTCTGTTCGCAAACGGTTTTTATCAAAGAAGTTATAAGCTGTACAAGTTAAATCCAATTCATTTTCAGGAAACTTATTATTATATTTTTCGAAATGTTCTGAAGATAAAAGTGTTGCGGCAACTAGATGATTTGTATATGCAAACCGTTCTTTTGCATTGTTTATAATAACATCACAAACTTCTAGACAGGCAATACGGTGATCCTGTTGGCTGTTATTTGGGCGTTTCCTTTTTTGGACACTAGGCGCCGCATTTAAATTTGAAGCTTGATGTATGATAGGGTCTATTTTATTTCGGACATTGTTAATACTTTGCTCAAAAACATGTATAGCTTTCTGTGCTTCGGTTGGGTCCATGTTCTTTTTTTGAAGATTATTGTACAAAACGTCAACATGTGGCATAATATAATGAAAAACAGTCAGCCAGAAAGTAAAATTTTGATCTTCCAGAATACGTCTAAGTCCTCTTGCTTCCTTGGAAGTAATAGCATTTGACTCTTCTTCTAGTTGCTCCATACACTCAATAATAAAGTCTCTATATTCGTAAACGACATTTACTGTACGAATATTGAAATTCCAGCGTGTAGGGATTGAACGAGGAATATTTTTTCCAACTATTTGATTTAAGACAGCTATTCTTTGAGGTGAATGACTAAAAAATCCAGGTATATCATGTAAATCTCCAAAAAATACGCGTACTTGGGAATTAATAGAACATGCTCTTGACATTATTAGATTCAATTGATGGGCGTAACAGTGCACAAAATGAGCAGTTTCATATTTTCTCTTAATTATTGTTTGCACTCCGCCATGTATCCCACTCATAACAGCTGCTCCGTCATAACTTTGTGCAATGAGCTTATTTTTGTTATTCTTTAATATTGGGTCTAAAACATTCAAAATTGTGTTAGCTAAGGTTTCAGCATCATGTTTTTCTGGAAGCAAAAAAGTCCAAAACCTTTCAACTGGAGCACCGTTTTTTACATAACGAAAAACAATGACCATTTGAAATTTCATAGAAACATCCGTTGTCTCATCAGCTATCACTGCTAAAAATGGGGCTTCATTGATTTCGTTTAAAATCTCCTCAGCGTATACTTCTAGCATGCAATCCAAAATATCATTTTGTATTGTTTTTGAGGTACCTTTGAAAATTGTCGCATTTGTAAGGTGTTCACTAAGTGTTTTATCAAGTTCAGCAGAAAAATTCACTAAACCACGAAAAATTCCAGGGTTATCTGATGTTTCAGATTCATCGTGTCCTCGTAAGGCGAGCTCAAAAGCCCCACAGAATTTTATACAGTCAATTATTTTTGACAAAACATACCTGTTTTTCGTCACCTCTTCATTGTGTTTTTGTATATTTATCCAATAAGCAGAGTCAAGTTGGGCCTGTATATTAAGTTTCCCAAATAATGCAAATCGCATTTCATTGTTCATATGAGTTTGCGTGTTTTCATGCTTCTTTATTTTTTCACTTAAATGCACTAGATCCCGCACTCCTGTCTCGCGCCACAATTTTTCCTCTTTATCTGCGCCGAATAATGCACACGGAAAACAGAAAAAAGCATTTTTTTCGGAACATCCACAAATCCACTGATTTCGTAGATACATGTCTTTATTAAATTTACGCGTATATGTTTTTCCACGGCTTTTACCGGACACTTCAATATTAAGATCAGGCATAGGACGGCCACGTTCTTTTATAATCAACTGTTGTTGATAGTGAAGTTTTTGAAATTTATTTACACCTAATTTAAATTGAAACTCCATTGTTTTAAACACGCTCGAACAAAACAAATTAAACAAAATTGTAACCTAAGAATTTCTAAACACGGCACAGATGCAACGGTCACGAATAACTGTCGTGAATTGCAGCTCGCAAACACATTTCCGAGGCCGTTAATCAGCCGATTGCCGAAGCACATCGGCTAAGATCGCCGTTTGCCTAATAAATGCATTTTACCGCTGCCAGTGTTTCGGTTGTTATCGACGCGGCTTCACTGGAGCAGCAAATACGTAAAAAGATTGCTTCACTGGAGCACCAAATACGTAAAAAAATTATACGGTTTCACTAGAGGAGTAAATACGTAAAAAAAATAATATTAATCATCGTTGTTGGTGAATTATTATTAACAGTTTATGTTTAATATGATAATATGGCAGATTTGAAATAAAACTATATTAATTATTCTTTAATAATTAAGATTTGCTATGGTTGTTTGGTAGTTCTGCAGCTCAGCAGCACATAAAGAAAAGCCGCCACTGTTACAAACCCTTAATTCAGTACATAATACTGCCATCCGCCTCTGTTTAGGAGCTTTTCGTAGCAGTCCAGCTGAGAGCCTCTACCGTGAAGCCAACGAACCTTCTCTTTGGCTTAGGCGCCAATATCTCCTCCTCTTTGGCTTATTTGCCAATATCACCTCCTTTCTTATGCTGCCTCTACTTCAGCTAACCTTTCTAATCCAGTACACACACTGCTGACATTACCCAACTATACTAGTACTCACCCTCCTGCTCCACGCATACACACTATCGCCCTCCTACTTCCAACTTTAATTCCACATATTAATTTATCCCCAACCAACTCTCTCCCGATCCCGCAGAATTCTCCTTGGACCAAAGCTTTACCGAAATTTAATGTGTCACTTACAAAGTTTAGTAAAGCAGAAACCAACCCGGATTTGATTAGGAAATCCTTACTAGAAATTCTTAATTTTAAGAAATTCGATCGGGTCCTCTACACTGACGCATCAAAGAGCGAAACGGGGGTTGGTTGTGCGGTTGCCACTACGGAAACAGTCGTCAGTTCATGTCAAAGACCTGTGACATGCAGCGTTCACACTGGTGAACTGTATGCTATTTACCAAGCCTTCAAACTCTGCACAACACCCAATCAACATATTGCCATCTAGGTAAAGAAATTGCCATCTGTACAGACTCCCTTGCCTCTATCCAGTCCATCAATAATCTATTTACTAATCACCCCCTTGTAAAAAAAATCCATGACACTTACCAAAATCGTATCATCCACGACATCTATATCACTATCATATGGATTCCCTCCCACATCGGGATTACGGGTAACGACAACGCCGATCGCTTTGCCAAAGAAGCTGCTGTATCCAACTGTACAGTACGTAATATACAAATCGCCAGTGACCTAAAAACTAGTAGAAAGAAACTCGTTCGAAATTACTGGCAGAATCATTGGAACCAATCCACTACATTTTTACACCAAATAGATCAGACGATTGAGCGGTTCGTTATCTCTGGTATAACTAGAAATGAGATGGTATTTGCTAGAAGATTGCGTATCGGTCACACCAGATTTATACATGGTCACCTAATGAATTCTACACCTAAGCCAATCTGTCACTATTGCCAATCTCCACTAAGCTTTCTACACAACCTTGTGGACTGCCCTCATTACAATAAACGACGCCAAGAACTGGGCATGAAGGACGACATCACAGATATATTATCGAACCAGAGCCAAGTCATCACGGCTATCCAGTTCCTAAAGCTAGAAAACTTACTAAATAATATATCTTCTTCCTATGCCGTCCTTATTAACGGAGGTTGGCGACCACATTTTTAAAAGCTTCTCTGTCTTTTGCAACGTGGAATAATTCGTCTACAGTCATGTTTGTCCAGTCTCGAATATTTCGCAGCCATGACTTCCTCTTTCTACCTATTCCCTTTTTGCCATCGACTCTACCCTGCATGATGACCTGCAGAAGACTATATTTATTATTTCTTAGTATGTGTCCAAGGTATGCAGTCTTGCGTACTTTTATCGTTCTCAACAATTTTTTGACTCGACCCATTCTTCTCAGCACTTCCTCATTGGTGACCCTGGCAGTCCATGGGATTCTCAACATTCTCCGGTATATCCAAAGTTCAAATAATATATAACTATAGTATATTATAATATGTAATTGTACCTACCTTAAATATAATTGTAAACAGTGCCTCGTGCTAATGGCCGAAGCTGTCACAAGCAGGTTAAATTAAATAAAAAATAAAAAAAAATTATTTGAGCATTCAACCTTATGTCAAATAAAGATATGGCAGTGCTCGCACTATTGCCTGAATACAACATTATTGCGATTTTTCGTCAACTGAGTACATTTCATAAACTTTATTGCTTTGTAAACAATATAATTTATTGTTTGAGTAGTACAATTTATTGTTCGATAGTAGTAGTAGTATTTGTGGAAATTTGCTGTGTGTAATTTAATCATAAAATAAAAATATTGACAATTCAAATATTGTCAAACATCTTACATCAATATGATCAAACGCAACATGTCTTACACATTCTTGCACTACGTGTGGCCTGAAAAATGTATTATATTTTTGCAAGATTTTGGTACATTTAATTCCTAGAACAATTTTAACATTTGTTATTAATACAGAATTCAATACTCTACATATAGTTTTTTATGACTTTTGGTGTAAAATAATTAGGGAAGCAGGAATTCAACAATTTAGAATTTCCCATTCGAAATGAGTTTCCTATGGCCCGTTTGATGATTTACCTTCCGGTATAAGCCGATAAATGGTGGACTTCTCAATTTAGATCATCTTTAAACATATTTTTATCGTATAGTCTATATTTTTTGCAATATTTTGAAGTCCTGTAAATATATTAAGCACAATTATTATATATTTATGGTAAATAGATCAGACTTAACAGTTGGATAGAAAATTTTCTATCTTAAATCATATATTTTTAACTTATTCTGTAAATATTTTAACATAATTTATGTATCTTATTGCAGGTGGACTACCGCTGGGGTATGCTAGTGATGCAAAAAAGCAATCTGAAGATTCACATCAACTTCCTATCCCTTTAACTGGTGAATATGACGACAATGTGGAAGAAGTTTATACAGAAATGAAAGAGTTTTTATCCTCTAAAACAGGAAATTCTAAAAATTTTCCTCCCTTATATGCTAAGAAAGATATCGTGAAAATGGTTCAACACGTGTTAGATAGTTGGTGCACTGATTTTGATGAGCCGCCATTATTTAAAGTTTATTATTTACAGTATATGTTTCAAGTACTAAAAAACTCGGTAGCTAATGACAATGTATGGCCCTTATATTCAATGGCAGAGACGGAAGTTGATAAGGATCTTTATTCCCATACTGCTGGAATATGTTGTGACTTTCATTCTGTTAGTGAAGCTTGTGAATTCTGTAGCCGTTCTGTGGTTGTCAGACTTGCTTATACAATTTGTGATAATTGCTGTTCATTTCTTAATATTCCTATAGAGGCTGGAAGACATGTACCTGATCAAGCTTTTACAGCATCCAGTTTGAGCTCAAGAGCTTCATCAAAAGCTAGTTTGTATTCAGCTTCTAGTAAATCTTCTAAGAAGCAATCAGTTCGAGAGGATGATAAAGATACCGTTATATCGTTTTCTAGTGCCTCTCAATGGGAGAACGAATCTGTAATGTCAGATTCTTCTACATCGACATTCAATAATGGCTTTCCAGGTCTGAAATCTAAATGGACATTAAGCAATTCTCAACCTGTAGCATCTGACTCAATGAGCCAAGTGTCCGGTCCGAGCTATGCAAGTGCTATGGGAAATAGAAAACCTAATAGAGACTTTTCTAATGCTGTGGGAAACAGAGGACCTCAAAGAGAGTTTCCTAAAAATTCCGATAATGATCACTCCAGTGATTCGACTACCGATTATTTAAACAGTCAATCATTTCCGGCTCTTGGAAGAGGAAGAGGTTTAGGCAGAAATCGAAGAAATTGATCATTTTGACTGCAATGGGTCTTGTTCCACTTCATAAGATTGTTAAAAGAATATGTAACTGTTTACATTAGGTGGCTAGCCAGTACTCACATTGTCTCGTTAATAACTGAACAAATAATCACTAACTATTGCTTTTTTTATATTACAGCGAAATAAAGCAACTGTATGAGCGAGACTGTTTTACATTAATTCACAATTTACCTTTGAATGGAATAGAAGTAAATCTAATACTATGACTTTCTCTGTCCCTTTTTTTAATGTTGGCGTCTGATATGTTCATATAATATCTAAAAACGCAGGCCATGTAAAACCAAAAACAATTTGCAACTTTCTACTTTAACTCTAGAATACTAATCATATTTTTACCTTCATTTACACTAACCTTCGTAAAATACAATACGCTAAATGTGGTTGCTGAAAAATTATTTTCTATAACTTAAATTTACAAATTATTTTAAACAAGGAGATATTTCTAAAACCTAAAAATCACAAAAAGAATAATAATTTCTACATTTTAGAACGGCACGGTTGACAACAAAAATCGCGATGTTCACCACAAAATGGACGTCGGCATTGCTCGCAATGATGGGTTGTCATTCGACGTTTTTTAGACGGATAAAATTGACACGTGGCACGTCTTGACACAGTAGAGCATATTCGTTCTTGCTGCGGCTCCATCTTTAAAATATTTTCAATAAGCAACTTTACCGAGCGGTTCAAAGTTGGCCAATTTACACGATGTTATAACCAAGGTTTGTTCAGATGTTCAGACAAAATGGTCATAATTATTTTTCTGGTGATTGTGTTTTTCTGCTGTTGTTGTTGGTTATGTTTATAAAATATCCAAGAGTTTATGCAAGCTGTATTTAACATGACATAGAACAGGCAAATCATGTTTTTCTAGAGATGTTCATGTTTCCGCACATTTGGTCAAATTTATCTACTCCATACTTGTTAAATTATAAAATATAATGATATCTGGCTTTCCTGTTGGATCACATTCTACTGGACCATACCATTGTTGATTTTCGATAGAAGAAGCACAGTTTCATTTTGCCATAGAGTACCAACTATAGTTCAGTTGTAAAGAGGTTTTAAGAGGTATGTTGCTAACGGTACTAACGCAAACCAATTATGGTTATGTTACGGTTACTTCTGTACACACCCTGAGATAATTGTTTTATATAATATTATCCTAGAGGCTGTCCATTGATGTTAGTTCCCTTTCCTAAACACAATTCTGCATCGAACATATATTTGCTATTTAAGTCATCTATTTTCAGTCCATATTTGGCTGGCTTGTTTGAGATATACATCCGGAAAGAACATCTTCCCCTTAAAGCCGGTTGCTGCTCATCTATTGTTCGGTATGATCGGAGCTTATAAGATGTTTTTCATTTCTGTATAGTTGCTTTATATATCGCACCAGAAATTTTGTCATCAAGCGTTTGTCTTGTCGCTTAATGATTGTCTTTTTGGACAGCAGCAAAAAAGTAGTCCTAGAAGTGCATGTAATTCGTCAATATTTAGTTTCGAGTTTATAAGTTTTTCGACTTAATATTTTGGTGTCCCAACAGAAATTCCAATATTTGTATATTCTACAATTTTTTCTAAAGAATTTAAACTTCTAAAAAAATAAAAATCATCTAAGGGAGTTTATGCTTCCTGTGCTCGACTGCAACCGAGTTTGCCTTCTGATTTATCAGAATTGTTATCGGATTCATCTGGCAACTCAGCTCCCGCTGCGTGAGAGATCTGTGCGTGCCTCTATTGTCGTATTCATATTTTACGCTATAAAAAAAACTAATAATATCGTTCTTTCTGCTTTTATAATGTTATTACTCACCTTTGTAACATTTACGAAACTGTGTTCTCTTATAGGCACTTCATTTAACATATAGGCGTAACTGTACTTGTAAAACGTTCGATATACACTAATGTAAGAATAGATGAGTGGGCAAGAGAAACTGGTGTATCCCTTCCACAATATCCTACAATGACATTGACGTCGTAAAAATGACGATGGTTAGTATTTTAGAGTCAAACAAAATGTGTTTATATATGTGCTACGAAACTGTAAGTGATATTAATACATTAGTGTATTAAGACAAAAATCGATAATTTATATCTAGAATGAATATATTTTGCACAATTCTATATTTGAGCTTTGATTTTGACGATTTGTTTCTATTTAATTAAGTTCTTATTAAATCATCCACTAAACTCAATTCTATATATATATATATATATATATAATATATATATATATATATATATATATATAATCGGTTTAAAACGTCCTCCGACGTCTTCCGATGCCCAATCTCCATGCATCTCTATCTTCCCAAAGATCTTCGTCTAAACCTCTCTCTCGGATCTCTCTGTCTATTCCTTCTCTCCAGCTCTTTCTGGGTCGGCCTCTTTTTCTCTTTCCATGTGGTGACCAATCTATAATCTGTTTGGGCAGACGATGTTCTGGCATTCTCTGCACATGTCCATACCACTTTAGTTGTTGTACTCTTATATCTTCGACAATTGTATGTGTGACTCCCATAACCTCTCGTATACGTTCGTTATTAATTCTTTCGAGTTTTGATTTTCCTGCGGCCCGTCTCCAGTAGTCCATCTCCGTGGCTTGTAGTGTTCTTTCAGTAGTTGCCTTTAACTGCCACACGTCACTTCCATACATTACTATGCTCTTTATAATAGTGTTGTATATTCGATGTTTATTTTTTTTTGGATATATGTTGATCCCAGATAATACTATTTAGTTGAGATATGGCCCTTCTACCCTGAGTGTTTCGTTTTTTTTATAGCCTGATCTGATTTGCCGTCGTCTGTGATTTCTACTCCTAAATAGGAATATTTATTGTTGTACTTAATGTGTTGTCCGTCGTTTAAAACTAGATTTTGTTCTTTACCACCGATGTTCATGTACATTGTTTTATCTATGTTGACTTCTAATCCCCATTTTTTGTATTCTTCGATTAATTTTCGAGTCATATATTCTAGGTCGTCATATTCGTTAGCAATCACAATTTGATCATCAGCAAAACATAAAGTGTACAAGTTGTTATTGTTTAATTGTATACCCATGTCGCTGCATTTCCGCTTCCAGAGTTTTAATGCTTGTTCCAGATACTAAACTCAATTCGAAAGTATTAAAAATATAGAAAATATTGTTTTTAATTTAAATTTGCATATATTTAGACATTTTCTAATGAGGATCTATAGTCACAAGAATAGCATATTTCGTCTCCTGTTATCTGACTATTTCTGAGACTTCAGCGATTTTGTTATAACATTGATTAATATCCCACGGTCATCTACTATTGTAATGGCTCCAAGGAGTACTTCTTTTATATGGAATTAGAACATATTTTTAATTTTCCTAGAGAAACTGTGATAAGCTTCTTGTTAAACTCATTCTCTTCCGTCTCTAGTGGTTCATCTATTTCTTCATCCAACATAGTTCCGTCCACCAGCGAGTAACATTCTGGATCCGCCTGGATTTGTTCATTATGTGATGTACAGCTAGATGCTCCTTTCGTTTATATCTTTTTTAACTTTGTTTATTCTTGCAAAAATTAAATGACAGAATTATCGACATCAGATAACGTTTTCTTTTTGATTTTCTTCCTTTTTGTGGACGTACGTATGGCCAGCCACAGCCTGACCTTCGCTATTTTTTTTCCCTCCAGATTCCAGATTGATTTATCTTGTGGCTTTATATTTATACTCTTTTTCTATCTCATGTGCTTCTAGATAACGTGCTCTGCAACTCCTTAGGGATCAACACTGTAAGAAAATATGTGTAGAAGTTTCATCGTCTGCCTCACAGGATCTACATTCTGCCACGTAAATTATTTTCATGTTTTCGGATGCGTCTTAGTTGACAATGGTCTGTTTAAATTAATGTTATGATTCAACGGGAAGAATGATCCAAAGAGCTTGTGAATGTTTTTGTTTTTTGGAAAGGTTGAAATGCTGTAGATGTGTAACAAATTAATACAGCTACTTTTTTCATTGACTCAAGGCAAATACTTAGTTACTTTATAACAAAAATTTAAATAATTTTAACATCATCTACATATAATCAGTGATATAGGGTATTGATTTGCTGCAAGGTATGATTATGAGTTCCCACGTTTACACATTTACACATTTTACGTAATTTTTAAATCTAAAATATGGAAAAAGAAATTACTCAAATAATCTTCAACTTGTTTGCAGACTACAACTTACTATAAGTATATCTTATGTTGTAGAGATAGGAGCAACTTTCCAAAAAATGAAGAGTGATAGGTAAAACAGTCTGCAATAAACAATTAGAATCTCTTCGGACATAGATTTAATAATCTTTTGTTATTTACTGTATGTATTGGGTAATTTACATCTTATAATATGTTGTTTGTGATAATTTTTCTCGTTTGTCATTATAATTTCGTTTTCTCGAATGTATTATATTTCTGAATTATGTCCTTTTAGCCATCATTTTCTTTCTTGATTTCTTCAGTCGTAAGTTTGTTTATTTGTTTTTCTAATTTGTACTAAAATTTTTTTTTTTTTCTATTGTAACTACATATTGTTGTTCTCAATGTATCATGACTACTTAATTTTTTGTTGCTTCACTTTTGAAGTCTGAAATATTATTTTTTTAATGTTTATAAAAATAGCTTATTTCCAAAATGTCTTAAATCGATGAAATGTATGTATTTAAAATTGTGTATTTATTCTTAGTTTATAGTAAGCAATATTAGACAGAACAGCTTTTAAAAGCTATTCAATAGAGTTTTCAACGGCATTACTTTTAACAGCTGATAAAACTTTCTGCCAAAATGACGTGGCAGGATACTGTTCGAAAATACCTAGCTTACTTAAAAGTAGTTTAACATATTTCCACTTCTCGATCGTAATTAAATGGCCTTAGGCCTCTTTGCTTGGGTTAAGAGATAACCATTTCTTCCCTCTTTTTAACAATTCATGGAAACGTGTGAAAG